TAGTTATCACTAGCCAACATGGCGCAATGTTAATTCATTATTTTATAAAATTCACATGGAGTCGGACACAAATCATCTACATTATATCATATCTGTGTCTAAAAAGAGAGAAACTCGTGTTTCGAAAATGAATCGACAATAAATGGAAACTTCGTCTCCAAAATGTTTCGATTTAGCGCTATCTGTGACGAAATTTCGAGCTAGTCACCTGTCAACAACGCCAATCAAAAGTTCTGGTCAAAATAATTAAAAAAAATTATTTACTTGTTACAACATGAAAACATGTATTCCATTGTGGAAAAAAGAGAAAAAAAAAAACGTTTGCTGTTAAAAATTTTCTTCGGTCTCCTGTCGGGTATGGGTAGTGGCTGACATATATTCCTAAATTCCTAAAACAAATCATCTCTGTAATGCGTATAATAAATATTTACAAAATCGCATAAGAAAAATATCTGTATTTGTACTCACCATATACGAGTATGTCCTTCCTTCTGATTTTTTAATTATAGTACTATAATAACTTAGAAGAATGCTTAAATGCAAAAACTGCAGAACAAAATCCAATTTTTCTATTTGACAGAATATCAAATAAATTATGGAAACTTTTCAGGCACAAAACGGGTACGAAATCTGTAAATGTGAGCCGACATCTGTTTCTTAAAAGTTTCGAAAAATTTGTGACACTAAGATCTTTATTGTTATAGTTTATGTAACCAAACCATATTTTGTTAAAATGTTTCGAAACAAACAGCGATTTATGTTACGAAACATACGTCTCAAAAATGTGACGAAACTGTTTCGCAATGTTTCTCAGCAGAGATTGTGTTTCGATTGTGTGTCTAAAAATGCTACTTGGTTACATTACAACGCTTGGCTCAAGTCAATCTCAGTCTGTATATTACACGAGACATTCCGCAGGTATAGACTCGGTTTAATGATATAAATTAATGTTATAAATGATAAAAACTTACGTCGACCCAACTGTTCGTTGCAAATGTTTGCACGCTCGAGATAAATTTTATTAATGTCGAAACGTGTTCGTCGCATAAATTGGACTCCCTCGGTTAGCGATTTTTAAGCGAAGATCAAAGGATTTGAATCGCATGCATTTTGCAGTGTGGACGATGTCTTTGTGAAACTTTGGAGCAGTTTGAAGTTGTTAGAGAATTGATTGGGATAATGAACTAAACGGAAATGTTACGATATACAACTATTTAGTGTACGAATTTAGCGGTTGTGTTCCATTACCGGCAACCGGCACTTACGTCAAGTCTGCCTCTAAACTGCGATTAATGTAAATAGATAAAAAATGTCTATACCTATGTGGCGGATTCATCTCTCCAAAAAATCCTTAATGGGTATTTTGCAGTGCAGTGGCGAAATACCCATAAAGGATTTTATTGGAGTGTAAATAGATACTTTTTTAGTTTTACGTTTCATGTATTTGTTAAGCTTTTAAATGTTTTCCTGTTCAAAGCAATTTTAGAAAATCTTTGAAATTTTTTTTTTGAAAAAGAAAAAATTGTTACGTGTGTCGTTAAGTTGTCGTTAAGGGGGGGGGGGCAACTCCAACTCCCACGACTGGTTTCTGGGCCTACCCTTCATCAGGTGGGCTGTCCATAGGTTGTTTCTCCAACGAAACGACAAACACAACGACTTGGCGATTAGAGATTAAGGATCTCGCACCAAAACGATAGAAAAGCATTCTTCGGCCTCTCTAATACAAAGGGTGGTCTCAACTGTATTCCGGAAACTTCGGCCGCATATTCTGCAGATAAAAATAAGTAAAAAAGTTCGTATAAATGTATGTCCTAAAATGCTTAATTTCGGAGATACACGGTGTAGAATTTTCATTTTTATTTCGATTTTTTCCAAATAATTTCTGAAGTAATGCCAATATTTAGAAAATTTGTGTCTGGGAGTTTTCTGACGTGAGGAATTTGATTTTGATGTCATTACAGTTACATTACAAACAACATCTTTAACTTTATTATTATAGGAGCTACAGATGCCCGACGCACTGTTGCCGGACCCTGTAAAAAATGACAGCAACCTTCATTTCACAGCCATCGCTGACCCCTTTTTTTCGATCGTATTGTATTAAGTTACGGCTAAAATGAATACTCGGGTAGTTTTAAAACTAGTCAGCCCTTTATTGAGTGTTCCCATCTGAGACTGAACAAGTTTCCATCTGACAGTCTCACTAAATCAGTTTTGATTGAATTTAAAATTATTGGACAAAAAAATGATTATCCCCAAAACATTATTTATTTTTAAAATTATACTTTTCTATTTCTCTAATAAATCTTCATGTTTCCCTATTTCGGTGTGCCTAAAAGGATGAAAATAATTTCAACCTGTTATGTTTTTATGTATGTACGATTTAATCTGTTTACGCTTAACTTCTAAACGGCGTATTATAATTTGACAAATTATGATAAGAAAAAAATATGGTCAGAACTATCTTAATCTGGTTATAGGCAATGTGAAGTAACAATAATTATTTCAATATGGCTCCTTATATGTAGAAGATAAAGTCACATAAATATTTTTTTTGCAAAGGAATTAGCATGCTTTATCTTCATAGACAGTTTTAGAATTAATCAGCAGTTTTACCTTTTATTGAGTGTTCTCACCTGAAACTAACATGTTTTAACCTGACTGTCTCACTGAATCAGTTTTGACTTATCGTGCTATAATAATAAACGTGAGAACACATTGTTAGCGAAAATCATCAGTATAGACATACTTTCAGTGAAAGTGAAAACCGGCTATACTTTTCTTTTCATTTTGACTGCATAATAAATATAAACTGAAATGTAAGAACGTATTTGTTTTGTTCAAGTTTTTAAATATAGTTTCACTAGCACTAGCACTTAGCACACACTAATAATTAATCGCCACATGATCTAGCACCTACCACATTTCGTTTTTGATACATAAGAATATGTATTGCGTAACTCATATGTTAATTTTAAACACTATTCGAACAAGCGATTGTGTTTTTGTAGACATTTTATAACTTCGACATCAACGAAAAATGCCTGGATCAAATGAATGAATTCAACGAGCAAAACGAAACGTTTAAATACAAACGTCGTTTTCTGTCTTTTGAGTAACATTGAGTCAGTCTGTCCCCTTTCTTTCTAAGGTCGCAGTGAGTAGGTATTGGGACATTTGAGCCAGACGGCCACTTCCGGTCCAGACACCTAATTCCAGGAACCCAATCAGATAAGAACATGTAAAATACGTTAATAAATAAGAATAAACAGGTTTGAGCCGCGGTGAACCGCTTTTAAACAGAAATAAACAGGTCTAAACAAAAAAATGAACAGGTCTGTTGTTTTAAACTAAAAGCTGTTCAAAGCAGTTCAAAAGCGGTTCACCGCGGCTCAAACCTGTTTATTCTTATTTATTAACGTATTTTACATGTTCTTATCTGATTGGGTTCCTGGAATTAGGTGTCTGGACCGGAAATGGCTGTCTGGCTCAAGTGTCCCAATACCTACTGCAGTGTTTCAGCAAATTCAGCAAAACTGACAAGTAAGAACGCGCTTTAAGATCATAAGTATGAACTAGGCATGACTTGTTGAAGTGAAACCTTTTTAGAAACCAAAAGCGCGATGGGAGTATAATTGAAGGCTGTGCTACACGAGACGCGAGTGGAAATTGATGACAATCTTGGAGCGTCGTAACTCGGGCCCTATGCGAGCTAGAGGGCTGAAACTTGGAATGTAGATGCTCAAAGAGTCCCATCTTTTCATGATATTTTGGCGAAGTTTCCCGCACTGTGAACCCCCATCATTAATGAATCAAATAAAAAAATCTTCCGAATCGTTTTAAACGAAATTTGGTATGTCGATAGATTGGACCAAGACCAACTTGACTGTGTACGATACGTGTCACTGTGACAGGTAGTTTTGGCGTAAGAAACGTCAAAAGTTGATGTCGTCCGATCACGACCAAATTTAGTGAGTAGATTATGTGAAGGACGGTGCACGCGGTTCCACCCTGCAAAGTTGGATACGACGCGCGACGTTTCGTTTACATCTTCATCAGGGTGGGTTTAACGATTTGATATATTGAAGAAAAATGTGGGTCGATTTCGGAATAATTAGGGACGAGCTACCGGATGACACCCTCGACGAACCGATGCGATGCCTCTAAATGGACGAAATCATCAAGATTTTTCTTAAAAATGGGTCGATTGGAAACAAATTCGGCACGGGAACAGTTTTTTTATACGTCTACAAAAACCGTTGACGTTCTGTAAAGATGACATTATATCAAGTTCAGGTATCTGTAGATGCTAGTAATGTATATTACAGTTGGGGGTTGGAACCTTTGGTGTTACACAGCAAAATAAACCACTAAATCACCACAATACACCAAAACACTTTTACTTTTACACTGGACGCGCGTTTCGCTAACCATGTTAGCATTATCAGCAGATAATTAAAATGGTTAGTTTTAATCATCTGCGGTGATTTAGTTTTTTATTTTGCTTAGTAATGTATGGAAATCGCGTCTTTGATTTTAAAGAACTTAACATACGTAAAAACTAAAAACAAATTAAAAATAGTCATAGAGAAAGTTTGAAGCTTTTTGGTTTTACCTTATTAAATAATTGTTAATTTTGAAGTGTAACTTTATATAATGTCATTTTGATAGAACGTCAACGGTTCTTGTAGACCAGATACGTCTAAAAAAAATAAAGTGGGCTCGAATAGTTGCCGTTAAATATTTTAAATAGTTTTTTTTCTTTATCCTTTATGTTTTTTGCTTCCGACGACGGAAAGAGATAAACTTTCCGAAACGTTAAGCATTTTTTTGTCCGTTAAGCATTTTTTTTTATTTGTAAGCCACTGCTGACAAGTAGTCGCTGTTGGATTAAAGCAGCAGTGTTTACAAAAAGCAACTATTTTATTTTGTAGATTTTCTTGCAGTGGCGAAATACCCATATAGGATTTTTTTGGAGAAATGACTATTATATTACCCACCTCTCCTGGTGCTGGTAGGCTTTTTGTGGTTGTGATATTGGCGTCGCTTGGCAATCTTTACCCAACGGGAATCGTTCCGATTGACCTGTGATGGTGCCGCTGCTGCGCACAGCAACAGCGCCAGTAGTACGCGCAGGGGGCCCCAGTGCAGAAGAACATCCGCCGGAGCCCCCTGCACAGCCGGTGGCCCGGGACCCGTCGTCAGAGCACCTGAAACAAGAAATTATCCTGTATATAGCATGTCAATCGTACATATACAGGGTGAGCCAGTATTCCGATAAGATTCCATATCAGGCTTACAATTATTTGAGATTTTTATTCCAATCTTTTTTATAAAATATACGGGCAATTTTATTGTACTGTACCGACATTTGTACCGACAAATACTTTAATAGATATACAGGATGATTCAAATATATTTTGACACTACATTTGCAGTTTTTCAAAAGTAATATACAGGATGGCAATTTGAAAACGAACAGTATTTAATATTACCTCTACCGATGATAGTATGAAAATTTGGCGAAATACGCCAATTTACATATCAAGGGGGCCAATTTTTGAGGCATTTGTTGTCGTATTACTTTCAACCCTTTGATCCCCAGGGTACCTACCCCTAAAATTTTAAATGGTAACCCCTATTTCTTTTACCATTTTTGTGTTCCAAATTTATGTAGAATTCTATAAGAAACACAAAAATGGTAAAAGAAATTGACGTGTTTCTCGCCAAATTTTCATACTATCATCGGTAGAGGCAATATTAAATACTGTTCGTTTTCAAATTGTCACCCTGTATAGGGGAGCGGGGGGCACGTTGTTACACGGGTAAGAAGTTACACGCCTTTTTTACCGAGATTTTAAACTCTTTGGTGGACATAAGTGGACTCATTTGTTCTCTTATAACATCGTGCATTACATAAAAATGATTAGTGACCCGTCGAGCGCCAAGCTGCTACGTTGTGTGCATATGTCTCGATTTGAACCAAGTAAGTAAACAAATCGTTTACGAGATTTTTGATTCCTGATGTCTATATTTTTTATTTTCTCAAAAATTTTTTCAAATATATTTTGACACTACATTTGCAGTTTTTCAAAAGTAATATACAGGATGGCAATTTGAAAACGAACAGTATTTAATATTACCTCTACCGATGATAGTATGAAAATTTGGCGAAATACGCCAATTTACATATCAAGGGGCCAATTTTTGAGGCATTTGTTGTCGTATTACTTTCAACCCTTTGATCCCCAGGGTACCTACCCCTAAAATTTTAAATGGCAACCCCTATTTCTTTTTACCATTTTTGTGTTCCAAATTTATGTAGAATTCTATAAGAAACACAAAAATGGTAAAAGAAATTGACGTGTTTCTCGCCAAATTTTCATACTATCATCGGTAGAGGCAATATTAAATACTGTTCGTTTTCAAATTGTCACCCTGTATAGGGGAGCGGGGGGCACGTTGTTACACGGGTAAGAAGTTACACGCCTTTTTTACCGAGATTTTAAACTCTTTGGTGGACATAAGTGGACTCATTTGTTCTCTTATAACATCGTGCATTACATAAAATGATTAGTGACCCGTCGAGCGCCAAGCTGCTACGTTGTGTGCATATGTCTCGATTTGAACCAAGTAAGTAAACAAATCGTTTACGAGATTTTTGATTCCTGATGTCTATATTTTTTATTTTCTCAAAAATTTTTTCAAATATATTTTGACACTACATTTGCAGTTTTTCAAAAGTAATATACAGGATGGCAATTTGAAAACGAACAGTATTTAATATTACCTCTACCGATGATAGTATGAAAATTTGGCGAAATACGCCAATTTACATATCAAGGGGGCCAATTTTTGAGGCATTTGTTGTCGTATTACTTTCAACCCTTTGATCCCCAGGGTACCTACCCCTAAAATTTTAAATGGCAACCCCTATTTCTTTTACCATTTTTGTGTTCCAAATTTATGTAGAATTCTATAAGAAACACAAAAATGGTAAAAGAAATTGACGTGTTTCTCGCCAAATTTTCATACTATCATCGGTAGAGGCAATATTAAATACTGTTCGTTTTCAAATTGTCACCCTGTATAGGGGAGCGGGGGGCACGTTGTTACACGGGTAAGAAGTTACACGCCTTTTTTACCGAGATTTTAAACTCTTTGGTGGACATAAGTGGACTCATTTGTTCTCTTATAACATCGTGCATTACATAAAAATGATTAGTGACCCGTCGAGCGCCAAGCTGCTACGTTGTGTGCATATGTCTCGATTTGAACCAAGTAAGTAAACAAATCGTTTACGAGATTTTTGATTCCTGATGTCTATATTTTTTATTTTCTCAAAAATTTTAATCTTTAACGTTCATAATATATCTACCTTTAATTTGCAATGTTGTTGTTTTCTACTATCGATATCCATTAATGCTGACTTCAATTTATATTTAAAAACGTACCATGGGGCAGGTAGTTACAATTTTTTAGGGTAAGTTGTTATATGTAACAACTTACCCCAAAAAATTACCATGCATTATATTGAACGGTTCTTCATATTTAAAAAAAGATTAAAGTAATTTTCACAAGAACCAGAACTAATTAGCTACTTATCTACTCAAAAGAAATATATTTTGGTTTACTACCAAGAGAAGTCCGGAAACTAGTTTACCAATGTGCTGTAAAACTCAAATTAACAAATATTCCCCCCAGCTGGCTTATAAATAACATGGCTGGACCAGACTGGTTTAAAAGTTTTATGGATAGAAATCCTTAACTATCTCTACGAACACCAGAAGGTAGGTACATCTTTGAGTAGAGGAACGTCGTTCAACAGAACCAACGATTTTTTTTGGCAAACTGCAAGGCTTTCTCCAAAATTATGAATTCACTGCTTCGCGCATATGGAAGGCTGACGAAACAGGTGTCACAACGGTACAGAAGCCTGAAAAAATAGTTGCTGCCTGTGGTCAAAAACAGGTCAGTGTGATCACATCTGCCAAAAGGGGAACACTTATGACACTTGCATGTGCTATAAATGCTGCTGGAAATTCAGTTCCGAAGATGTTCGTCCAGAATGATACATAGATCTTTTTCTCCATGCTGTAGATATTATAATTACTCATAAATGTTAAAAGACTGTTAAAAGTGATCTCTTTTGTTTATAATGCTTTGAAATAATAAAAAAAATGATTTATTATTGGTGATTTTGTTTATTTATCTACCGAAACATCGTGCCCCAAAGATGTAACAACTAGCCCCAAATCGGGGGTAAGTTGTTACAATCGACGTTTTTGGTTAAACTGTTCATTGTGAAAAAATTAAATAAATTTTAATAATTTTTCAATAATATTTTAATAGCTGAATAGATATACTAACGATAAAAGCAAGCAAATGTATAAATTATTTAATAGATTTTGTCATATTGACAATTATCTAAAAATTGTAACAACGTGCCCCCCGCTCCCCTACCGAGTAGTTTTTAAAATGTAAACATTCAAAGCTCTTTTAAAAAGTTTAAAAATTAAACTATTTATTCCCTTTAACTGGTAATAATTTATGGCATTTAATATTATTATTAGTATCCTTCATAAATCATTAATATAAATACATCACTTTTGTAAACATATACATAAATTGCTCATTATCTCTATAAAAAATATGTGCGCTATATCAAGCTGTTGCATATTGAAAAAAAGTGGAAGTGAAAATCTGAAATAGGAAATATGATATAGCGTTATATTGGATCACCCTGTCGGGCTGTAGATTATTATAAACTACTACAGTTATCATAAATACGGTAAATGCTAATAACTAAATATAAACAGGAATATTTCAGTTATCTGTATTATTAGATAACAACAAGAAAAATCGGTCTACAATGTCTAAACTAAAAACTATAAAACAACGACTCCGAAAATATTGTACCTTAAGCCGAGGATAGACTATTTATATTATAGGCTATTATACCGATATCAGGTCTAACGAGAGAGCAAGTTAAAGAGGTAGAGAAAATGGAGACAGATCCTCCAGTCTCCACCTCACGGGTTCCTCAGCCGGAGGCAAGCTCTTCGACTGTGAACGGCGCGGAGGGCCAAACTCTAACCGTGGAAGGGTGTGTACCCTCGGAGGAACAACTATTGTCAGAGGAGGATGGGAAATACCCTGTCCCCTCTACAACAGGGGTATGATGGGTTATAGACTGTGTGATGACTCAAGGAAGGGGGGCACAATAGATCTTTAAGGTCGCAGTGATTAACCCCCCCTCTTACTCATTCCACATTCTAATTTCTAAACGGAGAATCATAGTTTGAGAAATTATGATAAAAAAGTGCAATGTATGCACTATGTGCGCATATTTGAAGTGAAGCTTCTTACTAACAGCTATTAAATTGAAGGATGTAACAGTTAAATTTCATCGCTACGACCTCTATGTGCTAGCTCATAAATTATCGCAAATAACTATTATTTTTGCATCATGTTTACTATAATTTTATTGTTAAATATTATTTTATTTAAATTTTACGATTATGCAACCCGGTATACACCGCGATATTATATAGCTACAGCTCCACAATATTGTCACTGGCCAAGCATTAGAATTTTTGTCGACCTCTCTTTATCTTTGGTCATCACTTGTCACTTGTCACTGTCAGATCAAATCAGATGTTTTTGGATTTATTTATCCTTTGTTTTGGTTATTGAAATTTTATAATTATGAGATAAAATTTCGTAGTTAAATCGTTTATTTTTGATGTGGATCGCAGTGTGCAATTCGTTCATTTAATTGTGGAATTTCTGAGTTTAGTTCGTTCATTGACCGGATATGAAATATGGCTGTTGGAAAATATTCTAGAACATCGTTTTTTATTTATGCCTTTTTGTGAGTTGGACTAGTCGAGATATATAGTTCTCTATCTATATCCTGGAGGGAGATTTCCGGTTGAAATCTGATTTTGTGAAGGAAATCGAATCCTTGCATCACTTCTTGTGTACCCACCGTCCGAATGTCGTCGTGAAGAACTGGCTGCCGTTTCGTGAAGCATTCGCTGTTAGTAGTTAACTGGTCTTCCTAGAGAAGGATTAAGGCTTCCGAAACACCTTTGGTCAGAGACGCGGTTGAATTTTGTTGATTTGTATGGACCGCCGACCAATTTCCGCAATGGGATTAAAATAGCCAAATTTTCCGACCGATATTCCGATTCCACGTGCCCAAGAAGTCTCCGAGTAGTTCCAAGAGCAAGAAGACCGATCCAGACCGTAGCATAGAACAGTCTAGAATTCCATCCGTTCCTGTTGTCCGTGTAGAGGTACCCGTTAGACATCATAAAACCTCGTTGATGGTTTTTATGTTACCTTTTGAAGTCCTGCACCTGCCTGGTATCTGTACATTTGCTGACGAGCTCCAGTGACAGTACACCGAGCTGCTGTACCCTGCTGTAGCTACCCCATTGCTATACACCGAAGCTCAGCCGGAGGAACTTCCGAGCAGTTTTCAAGTTCTTGTCAAGACATTACACTGTAGAGTAAGATCGTTCAGATAGTTAGATTTAGTTTGCTATTTGTATTCCGCCCTTAGAGCATACTTAGTTTAAGTTAAGGGGGATGACGTCATAGATTTAGTTTTTGGTTTGGGTCAAAATATACCATTCCTGAAAATATTTGCACTTATTTAAGACTCACCCTGTATATACCAGTCCTTGTTAATGTAGAGTTTTTGGGTATATAGATAATGAAATTATGATGGACATAAGAACGACAGAATATTAGTTTTGTCGCAGTTTTGTCCGTTTGATGAAACTCCCGTCTTTAGAAAACAAAATGTTTTGAACTGAAACTTCTTTACGCGCGATAGGAGTAAAAATTCAAAGCCGTGACACACCAAAGCTTTGACACCACATGACCTTGACCATGCCCTGGCACACGAGTTAGCGAGAAAAAAGTGGTAAGGATCGAGCAAACACCAAAAAACATTTGATTTAAAGGTAAGGAAAGCATTATAATAAACTTGATACTGTACCTGAGTACTCTGGTTGTGTGCTAGGAAGTAAATTTTAATGCATATTTTCATCGATAGGTTTGCACCTTCTGAATAATGGTGTAAGTAAAGGATTTAGCTCATTTGCTAGCTCAGAATTAGAATTATTAGAGTTAAGCGATTCGCATTTTCATTGGAGGATTTCGTCATATTTATTTCAAACCAATAATCAACGACAATCTATACTAATATTGTGCTAATATATAAAATCCTTAAGTGACTGACATACTGATTAATCACGCGATCCTGCTCAAACCACTCAACGTAAGAAGCTCAATTTTGGCATATATGTTGATTCTAGGGTGTAGAGGTTCGATAAGAAGGGATTTTTCGAAATTCCAGTTCCAAGAGGGTGAACCCACCCCACAAATATTACAATATTTTTTATTTAAAAAACGGTCAAGTTTCCAAAAAAACCCTTAAACACGTATATTTTATTTTGTTTTTTTACATATTTTAAGATTTTTTAAAAATGTATACAGGGTGTCTCGAAAAATCTGGTCATTGATTAATCACGATCCTGCTTAAAGCGCTTGACGTAAAAAGCTGATTTTTGGAAAACAGATTGACTTTAGGGTGTAGAGGTTCGATAAGAAGGGATTTTTCGAAACTCGAATTCTAAGGGGGTGAAACTATCCCTGTAAATATTAAAATATTTAAAAACCGGTGAGTTTTTCGGAAAAACTCTTAAACACGTATATTTTATTTTGTTGGGGTTTTTCATAAAATATGACCATTGAGTAATCACGATTCTGCTTAAACTGCTTGATGTTTAAAGCTGATTTTTGGCAAACGGATTGACTGTGGGATGTAGAGGTTCGATAAGGAGGGGTTTCTCGAATCTCAAATTCCAAGAGGGTGAAAACGCCCCTCAAATATTACAATATTTGTTATTTAAAAAACGGTTAGTCTTTCGGGAAAACGAAAAACTTTTTAAAAAATCATACAGGGTGTTCCAAAAAGTTGGGTAATTTCTTAACCACGATTCTGCTTAAACTACTTGACGTAAAAAGCTTATTTTTGGCAAACGGATTTTTCGAAAGTCAAATTCCAACGAGATGAAACTACCCCTCAAATATTACCAAGTTATATAATAATATCGCCATATTGTTTTTTCTCATCCTGACATAAATGTGAGAAAATTTTATCCAGTTTGTATGCTAATGGAAATTCTTGCTTTGCTTTATCATCACCATTACAAATGATTAATTCGACGCGAACGAAGTCACTGGTACACGCTAGTATTCGTATAATTTAACAAAATTACTGTAAACCACTATAAATAAGAATTCAGGGTACTAGTAGCACATATATTCTGTGGTAGTAGTATAATGGCCACAACTGCTAAGGCTATCCGGCCGAGGAAGTCAGATTCATTTTTTTTCTCTTCTTAAAATTAAATTTAAGCGTTAACATTATTAGGTATTTGCATAAAAGTGTGTATTTTGGGTGGTATTCCACAAAATTTGCAGGTTATTGTGAAAACAGAAAATGTACAGG